GCCAGTCTTCGTTGTGTGAAATTTCACATGGTGCACAATGCCCCTGCTAAAAAATAATATGCAAGGCACTTTTTGACTCAGCGCAGGAAAGATTGTAACAAAATATCTCTCAGCCATGACCACTAAGATTTAGTCTAACACACACATGCATAATGGCTGTGGTCACAAGTCCTGCTGTTTCGACAGCGTATGTGCTCATGATGCAACTCACCTGATCTCAAAAGCTAAACAATGTTCACATGGACCTGTGAGAGCATTCAAAACACAAAATAAGACAAAATACGTAGAGAAACGCTGACTCCTGGAGCGCTGCCTGAAAGGGAGCTTTTAAAGAGCATCTAAAATAGTTTTGCCAAACACAATGTGTTGAAATTGCCTGAAGGAGCAGGAGCTTACAATTGGCTGGGTGGTGACACAAGGGCAGGCAAGGAACAAGAAACAGTTTGTCTTTGCTGCTGATTAGGACAGTGTGACAAGCAGATTGTCACAGCTCTGGTCCTGTGGCAGTCCTACAGGACTGCCTGAGCTCCCTTTTCTCCTCCTGCTGAGCAGCAAATGGGAGGGACCTGCTGGATGAGGGAAATCATCCTTCCTGCCTGCATCAGACTATTTCTGATTTTAGAGCTAAACTGAGGCTGAAATGGTACCCAAGCAAGCCAGGTAACTTCTCCTTCTCTATGCACATATGCCTCCTTGCCCATCCAGTCTCTCCTGTATGCAGCAGATGAATGCCTCATTATCCGATTCCTCTGCTTGCTTCCCGGTAGACTTAAATTACCATGTTAAATAGGATAATAATAAACACTGGCCTTTAACTACAGCACATCCTTGTTCACTCAGCAGCCTCCCTCTAATCTGATAAAGGGTCTGTAAAAGGCTACAAGGAAACACGGAGTTAGTTGTTACACGGGTGCCTCTCCCTGCTTTCTGCAGGGTGATTACTACGGCATCACACATAGACTCAGACTCACAAAGCTGGTTTAGGGGATCTTGATGCCTACAAGAATTATCAGGTATCAAAACAGGGGCAAGGTACCAAAAGCACATGGTGGATCTGGCCCAAGACTCTTCTGCTGCATTTCAAAAGGCAAAAGTAGCCCTGTGCCATCTGCTTGCCTCAGCACTTGGACTCCAAAACCAAAGCAGCCAAGGAAATCTTTCCGGCTTAAGAAAACAGTGGGGAAGAAGAGAGATCTCGGTGGCAGTGTATGCTGCCTTTGCACAGAGCTCACTGCATTTGAGGTATTAGAGAAGCTCTTTTTAACAACTACTCTGGAAAAAAGTCCTCTATCCACCCAGAATAAATTAAACAAAGGGAGCGAACTGGATTGGGAACAAAGAGGGCTGATCTGCCCAGACTTTGAATCCCCTTTGCCCCCAGAAGCTGAAAGTGCCATTTATTTCACCGTTACAGGATTTCCTGCTTTTTTTTGTTGTTGTTGGGGTATTTTTATATTTAGTTTACCTAATCCCCCGGATTTCTCTTGTTGCAAAAAGAGGAAAAAGCATTACAAAACAACAGGGGATAAACACAAAGTCAAATTACTTTGCTGATCTCTTTCACACATTCAAAAGAAGCAGAGAACTGCAAACTCTGGAAATCATGAGGAGTTTCCTAGAGGATATTCCAACCATCACCCACTGAAATGCAGCCATTCCTGAAACTCCTAATTAATAAAGCCAAGCTTCAACGTTTGCACTAGTAGCGATGTATCTGTGGAATTCAGATAGCTTTCCTCTAGTTTTCCAAAGTGAGGAAAACTTGGCTTTCTACCTGTCTTCCTCCAGCTTCAGCTTTGCAGAGTTGGCAAGCGATACAAAAAAGGAGGAAAGACATGAACTAGGCCGTCTGTCGTTGGAGGGTATGAAAGACAGTCTGAATAACAGCAGGAGAGGGAGAAGCAGCCTATGGTTATTTTTGACAGAATTGGGAGAGACTCAGATTGCAGCTTCATAAACAGTTCATCAGAGAAAAATTCTGTTCAAATTGGAGGAGCCCCTTTGGCCAAGCTCACAGAAATACACAACCCGTGTCTGGGAAGAGGGAAATATTTCAAAAATCAAAATGGTTTTCTTTAAAGAACAAACCCAAACCGCCACCCCCTTGTGTGGTGTAGTAACACTAACTTGCATTCCTGTCATTGCAACTCATGGCTTGCAGAATATTCTTAGAAAATTTCTGGGTGATACCAGGCTGTGAATGGTCTGCCTGACACAGAGTCCTGACCACGCAGTGAAATGAAAAATGGACTTTTTCATGTGTCACCCAACCTCAAGGTCCCCTTGATGGACTGTTCTACAAAACTGGAGGTGATGCAGAGGGGTAGCAGGCAGAAAAATGCCTGCCATAACTCAAATCCACCCAGTTCAAATTAAATAAAAATGGTTGTTCCATGTATGTATTTATACTTAAGAGGAACATGGAATTCACCTCAGACACATGTGATTTTTGGTGTTGACCTGCACAGAGCCAGGAGTTGGACTTCATGATACTTAGGGCTCCCTTCTACCTCAGGTTATTCTATGATTCCATGACCTCTGAACAAAAGATGAAAACTCAGTTTCATAATTAAATGCCAATTAGATAGTATAGGTGAAGTATTTCTCATGCATTGTGATGAGAAGAAGACTGTAAGATGTTTTTCAGGGCAATTTTTTGGTTTGTTTGTTTCTAGCATTCTTAACAATCTCTCACACAGAATCCTTTGTGTGACTGGATTAAGAAAATAAAGATCTTTCCTACTCAGGAGATATCCACAAGAAACTCAAGAGGTTTCTAGCAACCTTGCTGACAGATTCAGCCAGGAGGACGAATAGAGTCAGCGTGGAGATACACTCCTCCAAAGCTTCCAAGGGAAAAGCTGACCACTAGAGGAACTTGCTGCTGTTGTCAGGGAAAAGTAAGTCTGGAGGTTATTCTGTCTTTCTTCAGGATTAATTTCATTTGCTCATTAAAACACATAATGACTGAAGTGACATGCATCATCTCTGGCTGAAGAGAGTCCAAGCAAAATGCATCCCCCAAACCCAACCACCTTTCAAAAAGAAGTTTGTATAGCAGGACTACAAACCTTGATAATTAGTCTACAATGATTTGCATGACCTGTGCTTCTTCCTTATCCCTTCCAGCTGCTTGATGGACAGGTACAGTACAATGGAAAACACTACAGAAATGGGAATCAATGGGTTTCTTCTGTCTAACCACAATATCATTCTCACTTCATTTACTGCTTAGTGGGAAGGCATTTCTGTGGCCCAGGAATCAGCTCTTTCCAAATGGACGAGTCTCAAAGTTCAGCATTTTAGTGGTTTAAACTAAGTAGGAGTTTGCTCATCCATAGCAGCCTGGACTGCAGAAAATCCAGTTGTCTGACCCCTTAATGCTGTCTCCTATCCAGCCTTACAAGAAAAGGACATTTGGTCAGGGCTCTGTACTAACACAGTAGGGGGGTACGTGCTACAATACATCAATCCTGGGGAATGGAGGGGGTTGGAAGCAGAACTACACTGAAACACTCCAACCAGAAACAACTTCTGCTTCTGAATCACAGAATCATGGAATGGTTTGGGTTGGAATGGACTTCAAAGACCACCTAGTTCCAACCCTTCTGCCATGGGCAGGAACAACTTCCACTAGACCAGGCTGCTCATCCAACAGAGCCTTGAACACTTCCAGGGATGGGGAAAGGAAAGAGCAATCTAGTACAGAGACTTGATTAGCAGCAAGGTACAGTGAGATGAACCCCCCCTCCCTGACACTGGTGTGACACTGATGGAACAAATTTCTTAACCAGAAGTGATAGAAGCAAACCACTATCCCTCAGAACACCAGACTGCTTAAACTGGGCAGCAAAGAGGCCACTGAGAGGATCCTCTGCCCTGTACCAGGGCAAGGAAGATATGCTGAGCCTTGGCAGTGCTTTGCTCAAAAGCACAGGCACACCTGACGTTGTGCTGTGTGCTTCCCACAGCTGCAGTCACCTCTCACCAAACTAGAAGTGTCCAGCGAGGGCTGTTTTGCACAGTTAGTTAGCTGCTAGCCCACAAAAATCATTTTATGATATTCTCCATAGCACGTGTGCTCTGAAGGTTTTTAGAAACAGTGCCAGGAGTGCAGTAAGAATGAATAACTGTCTAGTAACCTTACAGCCAGGCACACACATGCACATCTAGTTATGCCTCCGAGCTACACTAATTATTTGTAGCAATGCTTTCATGTACCAAACCTGAAGTATCAATGAAAATATACAGCTGTGTAGAAAAATTCATTCTGTGAAACAAAATATTCACTTTCAGTCTACACGTAAGCACATGCTACATGTACACAGCTATAACACACAAAACTCTCACATGCCTAAATACACACAAGATATACAGTGAAAGCAAGGAATATAGTTAGGGAAAAATACTTTACATATGTATAGAAAAAAATGCAGGAAGGAAAACCAACCCTTTCACTTAGAACAACATCAGTGCCAAAAATCTATCCTTTAACATGACTGCAGAAAAGAAATCAGATTTTGGAAAAAGGACTGTTTGTAATTTTTATTGCTTCTGGAGCAGTGACGTAGCAAGAGCCCACTGCTATAATTTCTCCCTTTTGTATCCTTAAAATAATTCCCACCTGGGGTGCAAAGAGAGGAAACGAAAGGAAACAGAAAATTATATTTTTCATGAGCTAATCCTGGGAGGCAAATGCTCAGGTTTCCATGTTCCTGGGCAAGAATAATTTAAACAAGAACAGCAATATTTTGTTATTTTTTGCACAGTTGGAGTGTATGCTTCCAGATAACAGACAATTAAACTGCAATTTAAGAAGAGGAGGAAGACAGTATCTGATAGGATTCAGGAGTCCTCTCCTCTTAGGACTGCTGCATAGCTCAACACAGAATACTACAAAACAGACAGCCCAGATGCAAACCTCTTTGGAAATGCTGAAGGCAAGCAAGATCATCGGAAAACCAAACAAACTGAAAGCAAAGAGAGCACAACTACTGTACCTTTACTTTGGGGAGGGTTCTGACTTCTGTCTCGGAGAACATTAATCTGGTAGACAGCTCCATAAGGCTCAAAAAGTTCTTTTAACTCTTTTTCTGACCATGAACGGGGAATCTGTCCAACAAACATCTTAATGGCATCTGGGTCTGGTTGATCTGAATGATCCAAAGCTCCATTCATCTTGTTAGCTGTGCCGTTACTAGAAAGTGGAAAAGGAGATTGAAAAGAAGGCAAGTTAGGAGACTACGCAGTTTTCATGTGCACTAGATGCAGAAGATGATGTCAATTGGCACGAAGAAGAAAAAAAAAATCAGTATTTAATTAATAGCATAAGTATTACGAACAAAAAACAATGCTATTACATTTTTCATTGAGTCTGGTTTTCTCTGCAGGCTGCTACTTAATGTCATTATATAAGACGAGAGCGGCACAACACAACCCGGGACGTTTGCATTTTAAAGCAGACGATAGTTGCAAGTAAGTGCAGATTTCTGTCTATGGCTGTTGTAAACAGAACTGCAGTGAATTCTCACTAAACTGGCTACTGGCAGAAACAAGGCAGTGTGTGTGTGTGTGTGTGTGTGTGTGTGTGTTTGTAATAAAGTCACATGAAAGGAATATGAAACACTTGGCAATCTGTCAGATGACTAATGCAAGATGCCAGCGATGAATCTGCAGATTGTGTGAAGCATCCATGTGTGCATCAAATTAGTATGATATTGCCTAGAATGGAAAACACTCCAGCTATGTGGCTGGTTGCTGCCGATTAGTTGCCTACGCTCTTTCAAAAGGAAAAGCAGTCTGGAGTGCTCCAGTTTAAATCATGTTGTTTATTGCTGCCATAAAAAAAAAAAAAAAGAAAAAAAAGCACAATTCAAAAAGAGAAGACAGTGGTAAAATTGCCTACTTTGTTGTGAAAATTAAAATACTGCTTCAAAAACTTTTTCTCCCTGCCAAAGGAGATCAAAATTTTGAACATTTTCACCCCCTGTAAATTCTTACCCTATCTGATATCCAGATGTACATGCTACATCCAAGTTCAAAACAACCACACACTTTTGCAGGGGAAAAGAACTTAGTAACAAAAAATAATTTGATCTGGGAGACAAATGACAGACTATGGTTTAGGAAGGGTCATACTCTTATATGGAAAAGAAATAATTTTAAATACTGAACAAAAGAAAAATACAACCCCGCCTACCAAACTCATGTCACTATTGATAATTAAGGACAGTAGTTTCAACTAATTACTTGGCTAGGGATCCCGTAAGTGCTGATAATTTTTGGATGTTTCAGTTTAAAGAATGAACAGTAATGAGATGCGACTTTTTGAGCATCCTTCCCATCTTTCCACTGGGGACAGGGGGGAAATGGCCTGTGTGCAGCAGTGTCAGAAGTTGATCATGGCAGAATTCAGGCATTTCAAAGCCACCTGCCACTTCAAAAAAATTTGGCTTTAATTACAATTTCTCTGTTTGATGATTGTTCAGGAGTGAATGCCCACCGGAGGACTTGGAAGAGCTCAAAATCTGCACAACCAGATGAAAAATCATATTTTACACGTGAAAAAAAAAAAAAAAATCTAAGAATGGCAAGGAGAAAACAACCCTGTGTAATTCCCCTGTCTCACAGCTATAACCGGTGTGAAGACAAATTATTTAGTTTCATGTGTTTCATCTCCTTGAAAGCATAATTCACCTAAACACATTAATATGCCCATATTAACTTTAGCACTTTCCCTGCTTACGGTGGAAAGGAGAAAGTTATATTAAAGGCACATTTTAAACCAACAACAAGAAGTTTGATCATCGCTTGTGAAGTGTTTTTAACATGGATCAGCAGACAACAGCATTTATCACACTCATAAATAGCTAAAAATCCTGTTTATTCTAGTGGGAGTCTTACCTGAGTAAGAGACTCAAAGATTTGGTCCAAACTTTTATATCACATTTCATGCACAAATACCCTCTCAACTTACAAATGCTCTTCATTTTGAATAAGTTCTACAGGTCACAAGTACACCTGGAGATATAATGATTTCTCCAGGCTTTAGAAAGTGCATTTTCCATACATACAAAACACTTAAGCCAAAGCAAACCAACCATCCAAAGAACCATCTCCACCCCAACCACCAAGAAACAGAAAAACCTTGACTGACTCACTTGAATGATGCTCCATGGGAACAACTTTCAAGACTTTCAGTAAGCACCTACATGGCACAAACCTCTAGAAAATTACTCCATTATTTCTTTTGAATTCCTATTCCTTTATGTAAAACCCAATCTGTCAAAAAAAAAAAAACCCTAGCAGAGAGGTTAAAAAATCCCTGACCCATAGTTTAAAATAACCAGGGAAAATGCTTTCACATTATTTTGGACCTGCAAAGACAGGAAAAGGTAGAAGCTTGGTAAAGCCCTCAACTCTGCCCTGGCCTTGGTCAGCTATTTTTTTTTCAGAAATTGGCTTCACTTTTCATTTCATTTATACTCTGTGTTGTTTACATTAACAAAATGAATTGAGTTCATTTTAAAATTATGCCCTTCATCTATTCTTTCTCTTGGATCCCTTCTCTAAGAAATTCATACATAATTGCTACTTCAGCACAAAATTACAGCTAAGGTAATGTTTAATAAAAAATAACAAGTTAATTCCTGTGCTTTTTCCTTTACCAAAACCACCTTTACCACAAGCAGCCCCACAATTTCCATTGCTAATCAGCCAATTTTTAGGAAACCACAAAGCCAAACACTTATTTGTACCTATTTTCTCAGGTTAATGACCCCAACTGCATCAAGTTCTTGCTTTGAGCTACAGATTTAGGCACAGGCCAAGATCTCTTCTAATTTCACAAAATGCTTCAGCTCTTTTTCTATTTTTTTGGAACCAAAACTGAACTGATCATATTCCTTAAATGCTTTATTGGATAAAGATGGTTAAAGGCTCTGATCCAGGAGTAGGCTACCATACGCATAACTCCAGAGGACAGGTTTTGTCACTCACTGCCTGCATTAACTTGGGCAAATCATTAAAACTTCTCTGGACTAAATTCCGCCATCCACTGACAGCTCTGTCAATCCACTAACTCCTGCAGATCTAGGAAAAAAAGAAGCACAATTTAAACTTTTCTTTATAATACTTTTCTACCACAAGTAGGGGTTTGACTGAGCTGCCAACATTTTGGGGGGTTGATAGACAAGTTCAGGCCACAGAGAGGGCACTCATTTCTACAAGCACAGCTGGGCTCCTTCCTAAATTGCATTTCCTTTGATTTCAGTGCAAACTAAGGCTCTCAAGCACCTCAGAGGGATAATGCAAGTCTCACTGTTGGGATTTTGAGGAGCTCATGAACACTTGCAGCAATGACACTTCAGTAGCATCGTCACCCAGCTTCAGCAGTAGCTGTAGGATTAGAGCCAGTGCAGTCAAACTAAACTAGTGAATAAAACAACAGAGAGATAACAATGGAAAAAAACCACCCCAGTTTTATAGATTCTATGGATCTGATCCCTGCAGTGTACTTGAAAGTTCCACTGAGTAACAAAACTATACACCACACCTGCCTGATGGTTCAGTTGTCACAGAACTTGTTGGGTCAATACAAGATCCATTCAAATATCCTTGATCCCTTGCAAATAATCTCTGCTAAAGATGAAGTCCCTTATCCTCTCCCAGTCTTCATCTTCACCCAACAGACATTACTGCTCTGCACTAAGACCTCTTGGTCACCAACAGCTGCAGGGTTTTTACTAACTTCTCTCTGCCAACACAATGACTCTCAGAGGAAGCGGTTTCTACCTTCCCCCATCTTCCCCTTCTCCTGTACCCAAGAAATAACAAGGCAAAAGAGAAACTATGCATAAAACTTTCCAAAAGAAGCAAAGCAGACCTTGTGAAAGTTTAGGACTATTTCTTGAAAGCACGAGCGTACAGAGATAGCTGTGTCTGGGGACACTAATGAGAATGGGATCCCTTGACAATTACTGTCAGTACCCAAATGATGACACATATTAAAAAAAAAAAAAAAAGGGGGAAAAAATTCGATTATGTGGTTTGCTGGCTCTACATTGTAGCAATCCTTCCCTCCATGGCCAATTTAGCCCATTGGACTCAGGGGTGACCCAGCACATCATCTTCACTGACAAGGTGTCATCTATATCGTAGAGAGCAGCCTGAGGGCAGAGATTAAGCCACTGAGTCGCTGGCTGCTTGTGGTTGCTGCCAGAGCATCTTCTCTCTCAATTTGTGCCAATTTTCCTTCTAATAACCTAACTACCATTCCATCATTTCAGCAAGTTGACAGGACCACTCCTGAGGAGCTAGAGATTGTTTTAATATCCCTGCTGCTTCAGCAGGAGCACTGGAAAAACCTGGTAGATGCCTTCTCTGTCTCTTCCATTCATGCCTGTAATTACTGCAAGACTGCTAAAAGTGAACTGGCCACTAAAGACAGAGAGGGAGCCTTCAGAAACAATGTCTGGATCAAAAGGGACTCTCTTAAATTCATCACCGTTAAGAGCTTTGGTGTTAATCCACGTTCACTTCCATTAATGACCTCGGTGTCAAACCAGGTGCTGAAAAACAGCTGTTAACAGGGACCAAACAGATTTACATGAGACCTGTTTTTCAAATCTATTTTTAACCCAACACAGAACCTTCACGTTGTTGTTTTTTGGTTAATTCATGTTGCAACCCTCCTCCCATTTTAGTGGTTTTATCATTTTGCTGGGGATTTGCCTTTTTTCGTGTTCTACGCTTTAAGACATCTGAGCCAACAGAACAAGAACGTGATAACAAGCAGGTTCTAAGTGTAAAGACAACTAAATCCACCCCAGCACTGAGGCATTTGCAGGCACCAAGGTTTTACAGTAATAAGTATTTACATCTGAGCCAAGGTATCACTGCCAGGATACCACACAAGCTGAAAAAAGAGACAACATCCGTTCGAAGGCCTCCGACTGCTATCAAGAGACACAACCAAGCATCACCTTACCGTACTCCAAAGATCATAATTGCTGGTTTACGAGCAAATTTTATCTGGAAGGACCCAAAAGGGCTTTATAAACTCATTGTTTAGAGAGGAATGACTTCATCATAAGGTGACAGACGGCAGCTGTTTAATGACATGGAGCATTATCGCACAACAGTTTCAGCCAGGAAGGGTAGAACAATACCGTACCCAATTGAAAACTGCAGGGGGTT